GAGGCATCTGGACTGTGCAATCCTTGAGTAGTCTTGAATCATTTGAAGATGATTCTTGACAAACCTTGAAGAATATGGGAGGGAAAATTTTGGGGTACAACATTTACAAAGTGATTTTTTGCCAACTTCAAGCATTCGATTCTCCCTAACCACAAAGGTATTTAAGGAGTTCTTGGACAATTTGGAAAGCTTGCAACATGTACTATAATCCATATTTGAAATGAAACTTGAAACTCCAAGTGAAACTATGTGAAAAAAGGCCAAGAAGATGGGTCAAAATTCTGCCTAAACGAGGGCAAAATTTATCTAAGTTAAAAGTTTTAGGTACCCTTGTTCCCAAAATCATAACTTGAGATCCAAGCTTCTTTTGAGAAAACTTTGTGAATCAAAGTTTTAGACTTTGTGATGGACTACAACTTTTATGTTATAAGTTTTGTTTTAATCCATTTTCATCTTGGTGAAATAATGGGACAAAGTTAGGAAAAAATTGGAAAATTTTATAACTTATAAAATTTCGAAGTTATGAAAATTTCCATTTTAAACCCTAATTTGCAATTTTGGGTTTCTTGATGAAAAAGTTTCATAATTTTACATGTCTTGATGAAAAATGACCATTGGCACTTGATTTTGGCCAAAAAGTCAAAGTTTGACTTTTCAGTGTACAGTCAAATTTTGATCAGTTGACTGAAAAATTCATCTATCAATCCAATGCATTTTAGGTCTTTTGAACTTGTTGAATGGGTCAAGACAATTTCATTGAGTTCTTGTGTCCATGGTTGAACTTGATTTGCCATTGGCTAGGTCAAACAGTCAAAAATTGCCTTTGTACAGTCAAAATCCTAAAAATGACTATTTTGCCCTTTTGGTGATTTGATCAAATTTCTTGTGGAATTGTGATCCAAACTTGATAAAATGGTTCATATGAGTTCATAATATTGATGTGGGTCAAAATTTATGAGGTTTGACTGTCAATTGGCCACAGTTGACTTTTTCCCCAATATAGTTGATTTCTAGGTCAACTGTCCAATTGACTGGGTAAAGATTTGATACAAGGCTTGAAACTTGGTATGGACAAACTTGTGAGTCCAACATGAAGTATGAAAGTCATTTTTGGCATTGTGGGTCAAAACATCCCTGTGCAAACTCAAACCCTAATTTAGGTCAACAGTGCAAAGAGGTGTCTTGAGCAGAGCAAACCCTAGCTGGATCTTGAGTTCCAAGAGTCTTGTGATGAGAAATGTTGATGAAATGGGAGGGAAAATTTTGGGGTACAACATAAGACTTTTGGGCTAAGTTGTAAAGATTGGGCGCACAATGCGCATTTAAAAACTTTAATGCTTGGGTCCTTCATTCAATCAAACTTTTCTTTCAAGTTAAAACAAAGAGTATAATTCAACTTAAATATAATTAATAATAATACTGATATATTTGAAAATAATATATACAAAATAATATTAATAATAATAACATAAAAATCCTAAAACTGACCATTTTATTTTGGGCCTGCCGGTTCCATTTTTCATCAATCTTTTTTATTTTATTTTAAATTTAATAAGACAAACCGTTTAACAATAATCCAAATCAATAAACAAACATAGTTTTTTTTTTGAAAAAAAATAGAAATGGGCCAGATTTCAACTATTGGGCCACTTATCTTAAAAACATACCTCTCCTCCTTTGCGTAAATGGGCCTACTGACTAAAACAAATACAAATCCCCCTTGGTTTATTATTCAACAACAAAAAGAAATGGACGAGCTGAACAACTTAATGAGTCTATCCCAAGAAACTTATACCCCCTCATTATTGAAAACTAGCTAAAAAAACCTTGATAGACCTCTCTATTCAACAACAACCTCTTTAAACAGCGCACCTCCTTTTCTAAAAACTCACAAACAAACCTAAAATTTTAACTAACACACCCTTCTTTCTAAAGGGATATAATTTTTAAGAAATACCTCCCCCTGAATGGGCTTTTAAAAATCACATGGGTTAAGAAACTGAAATGGATCTTTTTAGAAACCTAATGGGCCGTCAGATATTGATGATCCATTTTGAATCACTACACCCTTTTTTAAACAATTAATCCTCCCTTATAAAAATAATACTTCAAACAAATAAATATTGTGACTAATAATTTAAAAACAATAGTAATAATACGACTATCAAATTGATAGGGCAAATTTGAGATATGACACATCCTAATTGCTTAATTGTTTTAATTTACTCTGATTTTTATTTATAAATTATACCAGAGAAATTATGGTGTTACACATGCTTCTAATGCTATAGTGCATGCGTCATTGTCATTGGTATGGCATAGGAGCATGCGCTAGAGGCTGATGTTTTAGTGTTAATTAGAGTCCATACACCACATACCGTGGCGCATATTGTACGAGACATATTTTTTTTGTTTGAAAAGTAGTTACTTTGATATATTTTCTAAAAATATAATTATTTGAGTTTTTTTTTTAAATGTGGTTATTTTAAAAAAAATCTATCAAGTTACTCCATAATTAAAATATGAGATGAATATATATATATATATATATATATATATATATATATATATATATATATTATATATATATATATATATATATATATATATATATATATATATATATATATATATATATATATATATATATATATATATATATATATATATATATATATATATATATATATATATATATATATATATATATATATATATATATATATATATTCTTTCTTTTATCTATACATTGTAACACTTTTAGAATTATGGTTGAATTTATTTTAAACAATTTTTTTTAATTACTTACATTTATTTTTAATTATTTAAATTTATTTTTAATTATTTTTTCTTTTATTACTCACGGATACCAATATATTATATATAATATGACATTTTATTATTAATTCCATGACATTATGATCAAGTTTTCGAATTAGTTAGATTTATTTAGCTAGTTAGAGGGAGAAATTTGCCACTTCACTAGCTTTGTTGAAACAAATTTAGATTTATTTAGCTAGTTAGAGGGAGAAATTTGCCACTTCACTAGCTTTGTTGAAACAAATTTTATGACTCTCGCAATATATTTATTTATTCTTTTCAACAAATCTTAAATTTCGGATTCTCAACTTTTACTATATATGTACTGTATTAGTCCCTTGAAACCCTAAACCTTATATTTGTTCCTCTATCCAAATACCTTAAACCACACACATTTTTTCTGAACCTAACCCTTTTCTTTACCATGGGACAAAGGGTTTCTATTTCTACTGGCTCATCAGATTCCTCTAATTCTGTTTCTCCATTCTTAGGGGATTATGTAAAAGTGAGATCACAAGAAGACTATAATACTCCTCTCAAGATAAACCCTAAGGAGCTGCACTTTCCATGTAATCATTCCTCTTTTTTTTGGCTTTTCTATTTGGTTTTTTCTTTTGGGTCTCGTTCTAATTTGATTTTTATTTTCATTCCTTCTTTGATTTTTGTGAAACAGTTGAATTGAAGAAGAAAAGCTCATGCACTTTGCAGTTATCTAATAATTCCGATGATTA